TCCCGCAGAGGGTAGGTCGGACACCCATCTCTACTAAAAATACAAAATTAGCTGGGTGTGGTGGCACACACCTGTAATCCCAACTACTCAGGAGGCTGAGTCTCGAGAATTGCTTGAACCCAGGAGGCTGAGGTTGTGGTAAGCTGAAATCATGCCATTGTACTCCAGCCTGAACCACAAGAGCGAAACTCCATCTCAAAATAATAATAATAATAATAAAAATTTCAAAAGTTGAAAAATTGACTTTTATTCTTGAATAAAGTTTACAGGTAAGCTGGTGACTCTCAAACCAAGATTCAGCACACCTGAGACTTGAGAGACTGTGAGTCCACTAAGAAGACACAGTCTAGAGGACGAGTTGAAGGTCTCATGCACAGATCAAGTCCATGGCTGAGCCTGCAACTCCAGAACATAGATCCCACATAAAGGAGGTGTTAATTCTCATACCTGCAACCTCAGCATGTGCAGGATGGTTTCTCTCATTCATGGACCTTCCTGTAGCTGCGATTGTGACATACACCTTATCTGGCACCTGAGTTTTTTGGCTCTCCTGCCTGGGCTCAGTCCACAGATTAGATTGTGACACATCACTGAACCCAGGATCTAGGTGATGTAAATTTATTCCTGCCTTGGCGCTCCTCACAGGGCGCACCGTGACATATTACTGCACCTAACATAGGGGAACCATAACCAGGTTGTGTGACTCTCCTGCCTGTGCCTTGCCCACACGGACCACTGTGACATATTGCTGGGTCTAACGTAACTCTCTTGCCTAGGTCCAATCTACAGAAAGTATTGTGACACATCTCTGTGCCCATCACACAGGTGACCTAACTCTCTTTTCCTGGGGGGTATTGAAAGAGATAGCTAGCCCCAGCACCTAGCTGATGTGACTCTTCTCTTCTTTCTAGGTTTTGCCCATGGGGAGCATTGTAACATATCATTGGGCCCAACACCAAGGTGATGTTGCTCTTTTGCCTCTTCTGCCTGGACCCCATTCACAAGGGCATTGTGATATACCTCTGGGCCCATCAACAATTTGATGTGTCTCGTCTGTCTTGCCTAGGCTTTCTCCATGGAAGATATTGTGACATAACTTTGGGCCCGGCACTCATAATGTAATTTTTCTACCTGATCTTCCTGACAGGAATCATTTTGACATGTTTCTGAGTTCATCACCTAGTTGATGTGACCCTTCTTATTTTCAGACTTGTTCAAAGTGGAGACTGCTACATATTGCTTGGCCCAGCTCCTGCATGATGTGACTTTCCTCTCATGCCTCAGTGCTCCCCACTGGAGTAATTTCGACATATAGCTTGGCCCTGGCTCTAGTTTATATGACTTTTCTCTTGCTCCTTAGCCCTGCTCACCTGGGGACATTATAACATATCTGAGCCCATCACCTAAGTAATGTGACTCTGTTGCCTGATCTCCTCCTCAGGGTGTATTGTTATATGTTGTAAGACCCAGCAACTAAGTGATATGACTCTTCTCTGCTGCTTGGGTTCTGTCCAATAAAAGATTGTGATGTGTCACCAGGCCCACGTTATGTGATGTCCCTCTCCTCCCTGGGCTGTACATACATTGCTATTGTGATATGGTTGGGTACAATGTCTAGGTCATGTGAGACTCCTGTATGGGCCCTTCCCACAGGGGCATTATCACATGTCACGTTAGTTACCTAGGTGATGTCATTCACCCCTTCCTTCTGGGTCCTGACAAAAAGAAGGATACTGACTCATCATGGGACCAAGCACATAATGATGTGATTCTCTTCTTTTACGTGGGCCTTGCATAATTTTGTTATTGTGACATATTGCTGGGTCCAAAACCTAGGAGATGAGAGACTTTTGCCTTGGACCTGACTACAGAGGGCTTTTTGATATTTCCCTGCATCTATCACCTGGGGGATGTTTCTCTCCTCTGCCTGCACCCTGCCTTCAGGGAAGATTGTGACATAACTCTGGGTCCAACAACCAGGTCATGTGTCTCTCCAGCCTGGGCATAGCCCCCCAGAAAGCACTGTGAGATATTGCTGGTTCCAGAAACTAGGTGATATGACTATGCCGACCATGCCCTGCTTTTAGAAGAAAATTGTAACATATCACTGGCTGAGTACCCAGGTAATGTGACTGTCCTGCCTGCACATTTTGTTGATTTGAAGTATGAGAGTTATTATCTCACCTATGAGCTGAACAAAAATACACTTTACAGTCCCAACTGTGCATAGAGAGTGAGCAAGAGAGTTACATGATTTTGGTGCTAGACCAGAGATATGTCACAATCTTTTCTAATAGCAGAAACCAGAAAGAAGAGTCCCCTCACCTGGGTTCTTGGCCAGGGAACCACCCAGAAACTGAGTGCTGTGCCCAGTGATAGGCCACAATGCTTCCTGTGAGCAAGATCCAGGAAAAGAAAACACATCACCCTGTTGCTGAGCCAAATGTTACATCACAGTCTTTCCTGTGGGCAGGATGCAGGCAGCAGAGGAGGGTCGCATCTCCTAGGTGATGAATGCAGACAGATGTCACGAGCCTCCTGAGAATGGTAGGGCTCATGCCCTGTTTACAGGGCATAGACAGGTACCTCCCATCTTCTAGGTGTTTGGTCTAATGATATGTCACAGTACTCAAAATATGTGGGGCCTATGCAAAAATACAAGTGTCAGAATTACCTAGGTGCTACGTCCGGGAGTATGTCATCATCCCACATTTTGGGGGGCTGGGCAAAGAAAAACACGTCTAAACCATAAATGTAAAAATATATCACAACCAGGCACAGTGGCTTATGACTGTAATTACTTACAGTAGTTTGAGAGACTGAGGTGGGTGGGTCACCTGAGGCCAGGAGTTCAAGACCAGCCTGGCATACATGGTAAAACCCCATCTCTATTAAAAATACAAAAAAAAAAAAAAAATTGGCTGAGCATGGTGCTACATGCCTGTAATCCCAGCTACTCTGGAGGCTGAGGCACAAGAATTGCTTGAATCTGGGAGGTCTGATGATTAGGTTCAAGGCCAAATAGCAAAATACGTTGGTATTTAATCTGTTTTCTCCATATATAAACATTGCTGGTCAAGAGTGTGTACAGATGTGAAGACTTAGAGTTTTCATCTCCTTTGGCCCTATCGTCCTTTGTTCACTGTCTGATCTCTGGAAGGAAGGTGGGCTGAAGGTGGCCACAGTTGTCTACGTGTGGTTAGTTTACTCCTGCTGCCTTCTGCTCTTTCTTTGGCCGCTATCTTTTCCATCCCCGAAACTGAAGAGAGATATCATTAGGAAGAGACCTGTCCTTCACGCTGGCAGAATAAATTTCTTCAGGCCCTTCACTGCCCCACTTCAGTGTGGCAGCTACTGGACATGTGTGGCTTCTGAGTGCCTGGAATGTGACTGGGTCTACACTGTGATGTGCTAGAAAGACAAAATACAGACTTAGTTCCAAAGATATAGTTCCAAATATATACATGCTACATTAATAATCACACCTTGCTTATATAATATTTTGGATATATTGGGTTACCTAAATTGTTACAATCAGTTTGACCTGTTTCTTCTTTCAATTTTTGTTTTTTTTTTTTGAGACGGAGTTTCGCTCTTGTTACCCAGGCTGGAGTGCAATGGTGCAATCTTGGCTCACTGCAACCTCCGCCTCCTGGGTTCAAGTAATTCTCCTGCCTCAGCCTCCCGAGTAGCTGGGATTACAGGCGCGCACCACCATGCCCAGCTAATTTTTTGTATTTTTAGTAGAGACGGGGTTTCACCAAGTTGACCAGTATGGTCTTCATCTCTTGACCTTGTGATCCACCCGCCTCGGCCTCCCAAAGTGCTGGATTATAGGCGTGAGCCACTGCTCCCGGCCTCAATTTTTTTTTTAATTTTTAATTTTTAAAAAATTTTTGTTTTTGAGAGTGAGTCTTGCTCTTCTTTCTTTTTAGAGTTTGGCTACTAGAAAATTCAAAATTTTTCAGGCACAGTGGCTCACGCCTGTAATCCTAGCACCTTGGGAGGCCGAGGTGGTTGGATCACCTGAGGTCAAGAGTTCAAGACCAGACTGGCCATCATGGTGAAACCCCATCTTAAAATAAAAAAATAAAGAAAAGAAAATTTTAAATTCACATTTGGCTCACATTCTATTTCAGAAGAGTGCCTCCTTAAAATCTCAGCCTGATCAAAAAAAGTCAGAAGCCAGGAAGGTCATAAAAGAGGAAATTTTAAAATAATTTTTACTGTATTATTTTTGTTTGTGAATATCATATAATTTTTTTTTTTTCTTTTCGTTTTATTTTTTTTTCTTTGCACCCAGCTGGAGTGCAATGGTGCGATCTTGACTCACTGCAACCTCCATCTCCCAGGTTCAAGCGATTCTCCTGCCTCAGCCTCCCGAGTAGCAGGGACTACAGGCATGACCCACCGTGCTCGGCCATATAATGTATAATGTATAAACGCATGAGACCGGACGGGCGCGGTGGCTCACGCCTGTAATCCCAGCGCTTTGGGAGGCCAAGGCGGGTGGATCACGAGGTCAAGAGATCAAGACCATCCTCGTCAACATGGTGAAACCCCGTCTCTACTAAAAGTACAAAAAAAAATTAGCTGTATGTGGTATTGCACGCCTGTAGTCCCAGCTACTTGGGAGGCTGAGGCAGGAGAATTGCTTGAACCCGGGAGGCGGAGGTTGCCGTGAGCGGAGATCGCGCCATTGCACTCCAGCCTGGGTAACAACAGCGAAACTCCGTCTCAAAATAAAAAAGCGAAACTCCGTCTCAAAAAATAAAAAAAAAAATAAACAAATAAACGCATGAGACCTTATACACAAGGTTAAATGCAAATACCATCTGGGGTGGCCCTGGCTCCGCTCAGGGAGGAAGCCCTCCCTAAAAACGCTGCAGCTGAGGCTGTTACTACATCTTCTTTCAGCCCAACATCTAATTACATCTCCTGTCACTCAGGGCCTGAAGGGGCGGGGCTGTAAACGTCTTCCAATCAGGAACGCCGGACTGGAAACCTTCCAATCAGACAAGCAGCTGGAGCGGACATGGCAGCTTCCGGGTTTGGCGGGGCCTTTGTCTCTGGCTGCGGTGGTAGCTCCAGGTCTCGTGTTCCCGGCTCTGTGTCCTCTGCTCCAGGAGGCCCAGTTCTGTGACCCTGTGACCTGCAGGTATTGGGAGAATCACAGCTAAAACGCCAGGACCTCCTGGAAGCCTAAGAATGGTGAGAATGCCGGGTCTGATATCCCGAGAGAGCGGGGAGTGGGCTAGTTGGAACCGGTGGGAAGTGGCCGTAGCAGGACTCGGGCCTCCCCGCAGTCAGCCCCACAATCTGCGCCTCAGTTCTCTTTGCCCAACTGGGTCTCAGTCCCCTTCAGCCATAAGATAGCAGCTGCACTGACAGCTGGCCGGGGCGTTCTGTCTCTTGCCAGAGTAGTGACTGCGCCCTGGTCTGAGGCCCTCTCCGGGCAGCTCTGCATCCACAGCGCCAGGTCTCTCCCATTTTGTGCAGGGACGACAAAAGGGTCGTCAAGGGAAAATCCTGACTCGAGTTGCGGGTTTTGTCACACGTGTCGCTCACGTAAAGAGACCACCAGGCAGGCTTTGTGTGGGCAACAAGGCCGTTTATTTTGCGCTTGGGTGCAAGCGGGCCAAGTCCGAGAAAGGGGTAGGCAAAGGGGATAGAGAGGGAATTGGTTATATAGGTTGGGGCAAATGCTTAGGTAAAGGTGGAAATCTGTCTTGGGGAGTGGGAGGACATCACAGAATGCATGATTACAAGGTTAGGGGTTGGGAATTTACCTTGGGGAGGGGATTGGCATCATAGGATGCGTGATCACAAAGGTAGGGCCAGTTATTACAAACAGGCATGATCGTAAGGGTGGGGAGTATCGGTTGCAGTCAAAAAGGCGGATGCAGTAGATTACATAGTTACAGGGGTGGGGGTTTTGAGAAACCCAATGTCCAGGGAGAAATTTTGGTAAGCCTGAACAGGAATGATGGTTACAGATTGCAGAGCAATTAGTCGGGGCAGTAACAGGTTGTTTTACTTCTTTCTGTGGCCACCTGGTTACTTGTGGTTACTTCAGACTTTGTGGCTTCTGGGGACCATCTAGAGGTGTATGTGCGGGTCACCGAGGCTGTAATGGCCAGCCTTGGACTTGGAGGCCATTTATAAATGGGAAAAGCTTTGGTCTGTGGGGTTCTGAGTCACTCTTTTCTCCTGTTATAAATGTAGAGAAGTCACCGCAAAAATATTGCAGAATTTAATCAAAGAGTGATTCAAAAATTATAGAGTACCCAGCTATGGTTTGTAGTTTGTCATCCATAGGAGGGGCTTGAAGAAAAGACTTTCATAAGTTGAGATTAAAAAAAAAAACAAATTCAATAATTGGTTAGGACAGTTACATAGTTTCTTAATTTGTATGATCAGGGTGGACATTTCCTGATTATGTATTCAGAGATTAATTAGCAGTTTATTGTTGACTAAGCCTCAGTTTGTTTCCCTCAGTTTAGTAATTTGTGAAAACATGCGTTTGAGTTAGATTTCTTTCGAGTAGAAATCCAGGGACTAGAGCCACCTAATTGCCTGCCACTTAATTATTTTTCTAGTTGCCTGCCACTTAATTGTTATCACAATCCACAGGAGAATAATTTTCTGCTGATTTTTTTTAATTTTTATTTTTCCAGAGAAGGAGTTTCACTTTGTCACCCAGGTTGGAGTGCAGGGGTGTGATTTTGGCTCATTGCAACCTCTGTCTCTCAAGGTTCAAGTGATCCTCCTGCCTCAGCCTCCCAAGTAGCTAGGATTACAGGCATGCGCCACCACACCTGGCTAATTTTGTATTTTTTATAGAGACAGGGTCTCTCCATGTTGGTCAGGCTGGTCTCAAACTCCTGACATCAGGTTATCCACCCACCTCAGCCTCCCAAAGTGCTGGGATTACAGGCGTAAGCCACTGTGCCCGGCCCTGGTGTAGTCTTATTTTGAAAAGGTAATCCCTTGAGATGTTAAAATTGTCTTGCCTGGCCTGATTAATCATTTTTTGACAAAGCATTGGATGGCACTTTAAAAAGATTTGTTTTCTATTTGTAAATACTTTCCATGAGAAGAAAGCAAAGTATAATTCCCTAACGCTGTAGTGTTAAAAAAATTTTATTCCTCTTTTGCCTTTATCTTCTATAGGCACAGAGATCTTAGAATGTTTTTGGGTCACGGTTTCCCTTTGGAAACTATGAGGTGAGATGTCTTCAGCCACCTTTTAGTTTTGTTCTTGGTCCTGGGCTTCAGTACTACCTGGGGATAAATCAAGATACCCACCATGCCTGTATCTGCTACAGTGTCTGGTGGATATCAACTCCTGGGTCTTCTTTGATAGCACAACCTGACTTACGAAGTGTAGCCGCTTGAAGAAGATGGCTGCCCCAGGGCCAAGAGGAATCTCCTGTTTTTCTTTTTCGACCACATTAAGATTGTCTTCACCCAACCCACCTTCCATTTCTTAAAGACACATTGCTGTTAAGCGAATCAGATACTGGTAAAAACAAACACAGAAATGGCTGGGTGCAATGGCTCACGCCTGTAATCCCAGCACTTTGGGAGGCCGAGGTGGGTGGATCACCTGAGGTCAGGAGTTCAAGACCAGCCTGGCCATCGTGGTGAAACCCCATCTTAAAAAAAAAAAAAAAAGAAACGTAGAAATAATTTCTGCCCCCTGGATTAAGCAGAGAAATTGTGAAATAGTAAAAATTTTGTGAAATAAAAAATCAGGGGTTTTTTGTTTTGTTTTGTTTTTTTGAGACAGAGTTTCACTCTGTTGCCCAGGCTGGGGTGCGGTGGCCTGATAGTGGCTCACTGCGACCTCCGCCTCCTGGGTTCAGGTGATTCTCCTGCCTCAGCCTCCTGAGTAGCTGGGATTACAGGCGCCCACCACCACTTTTGGCTAATTTTTGTATTTTTAGTAGAGATAGGGTTTTGCCATGTTGGCCAGGCTGGTCTTGAACACCTGACCTCTGGTTATCCACCCACCTTGGACTCCCAAAGTGCTAGGGTTACAGGCATGAGCCACGACACCTAGCCAAAAAATAGTATTTCAAAAGACAAAAATTTTAAGAAAGAAAACTGTCCCCAGTTAGTTGGTACAAGAATTTACAAAGTGACATGATCCTGGGCCACTCACTGGGGCATAGTGCAGTGTCTCCTGAGAGGGTGGTCATTGAGCACTTAGAACAGGATGGGGTGGGAGAATCTCTCAAGTGATTGGATGGCCATACTTGACACATAAGTCAGACACATCTGTTTTTTAATCAGCATTGCTACTCCCTGGGTTTGTGTCATTGAAAAGAATTGTTTTCAATTATCTTGACCTCAGTTTGTTGTTTTTGTTTGTTTGTTTTAAAATTTTTTACGTCTAGACTGCTCAGCAGGACTCAGTTTTTTAACTTTATAAGTTGCATTTCTTTAGTAGGGCTTTTTTTTTTTCTTTGAGACGGAGTTTCGCTCTTGTTACCCAGGCCGGAGTGCAATGGCGCGATCTCGGCTCACCACAACCTCCGCCTCCTGGGTTCAGGCAATTCTCCTGCCTCAGCCTCCTGAGTAGCTGGAATTACAGGCACATGCCACCATGCCCAGCTAATTTTTTTTTTTTTTTTTTTTTTTTTGGTATTTTTAATAGAGACAGGGTTTCACCATGTTGACCAGGATGGTCTCAATCTCTTGACCTTGTGATCCACCCGTCTCGGCCTCCCAAAGTGCTGGGATTACAGGTGTGAGCCACCACACCCAGCTCTTCTCAATTTTGGGAGAATACTTTTAGCAGAAATGGCACCAGGTTTTCTTTGTTCAACTTACAGAATTTAGCTGCAAATCTCTCTAGTCCTCCGCATGTTTTGGATGGTAGGCTATATATTATTAATCCAGTTTTGGAGCTTGTAATTGGTCTGTTCTGGGCTTCAACTTTTTGTGTTGAATCTTGGCCGTATATATTTGTGTTGAGTCTTGGCAGGATATATTTGTCCAGGAATTTATTTATATTAGATATTCTTGTCTGTGTGCGTAAAGATGTTCATAGTAGACTTCAACAGTTATTTGTATTTTTGTGGGGTCAGTGGCAATGTCCCTTTGTCATTTCTAATTGTGTTTATTTGGCTCTTCATTAATCTAGCCAGTGGTTTATTTATCTTATCAATATTTGTCTTTCTTATTTTACTTATTTATTTTTTATTTTTTTAGTAGAGACGGGTTTCTCCAAGTTGGTCAGGCTGCTCTCGAACTCCTGACCTCAGGTGATCCACCTGCCTCAGCCTCCCAAAGTGCTGGGATTACAGGTATGAGCCACTGCACCAGTCCTAGCTTATGAATTTTTTTCAAAGATTTAACTCCTGGATTTATTGATCTTTTGTATAGTTTTACATGTCTAAGGCTTCTTCAGTTCAGATGTGCTTTTGGTTATTTTTCACATTCTGGTAGCTTAGGGCTTGATTTGCTTTTGCTTCTCATTCCTTGTTTTGTAATATTAGGTCACTAAATTGAGATCTTTCTAACATTTTGATTCAGGCATTTAGTATTATCAGTTTCCTTCTTAACACTGCCTTAGCTGTGTTGCAGCGATTCTGGTATGTTGTATCTTTATTCTTAGTTGTTTCAAACAGCTTCTTGATTTTTGTCTTAATTTCATTATTTGCCTAAAAGTCGTTTAAATGCAGGTTGTTTGATTTTCATATAATTGTGTGTTTTCAAGTGGTTTTCTTTGTAGCTGAATTATATTTTCATCAGTCTGTGGTCTTAGCGTGTGGTTGGTATAATTAGGGATTTTTGTATTTGCCGAGTGTTGTTTTATTTCTGATTGTATGGTAAAATTTAGGGATTTATTTTATTTCTGTTGTTGGTATAATTTAGAGATTTTTGTATTTGCCAAGTGTTGTTTAGTTTCTGTTTTATTTCTGATTGTATGGTAGTAGATTTTGTTTCACGTGGTGATTAGAATAACGTGTATTATGTTGTTTTTAGATAGAGAGTTCTGTAGATGTCTATTAGAACTATTTGGTCAAGTGTGATATTTAGATCCTGTTATCGTTGTTTATTCTCTGACTCAAGGATCTAATAGTTTCTGTGGGGTGTTGTAGTTTCTCAGTATTTTTGTGTCAGAATCAAAATTTCCTCATAGTTCTCTAAGAACTTTATTTATTCATGTATACCCATGGATTTTTTATAATACATTTCTCTCTTCTGCTTTTTTTCCCCATAAACATTCTTTTTTTTTTTTTTTTTTTTTTTGAGGCAGAGTTTCGCTCTTGTTTACCCAGGCTGGAGTGCAATGGCACGATCTCGGCTCACCGCAACCTCTGCCTCCTGGGTTCAGGCAATTCTCCTCCTCAGCCTCCTGTGTAGCTGGGATTACAGGCACGCGCCACCATGCCCAGCTAATTTTTGTATTTTTAGTAGAGATGGGGTTTCAACATGTTGGCCAGGATGGTCTTGATCTCTTGACCTCGTGATCTGCCTGCCTCAGCCTCTCAAAGTGGTGGGATTACAGGCATGAGCCACCGTGCCCGGTCTCATTTTTAGTCTTTTTTTTTTTTTTTTGAGACGGAATTTTGCTCTTGTTACCCAGGCTGAAGTACAATGGCGCAATCTCGGCTCACCGCAACCTCTGCCTCCCTGGTGCAAGCAATTCTCCTGCCTCAGCCTCTCGAGTAGCTGGGACTACAGGTGTGCGCCACCATGCCCAGCTAATTTTTGTATTCTGAGTAGAGACGGGGTTTCACCATGTTGACCAGGATGGTCTCGATCTCCCGACCTCATGATCCACCCACCTCGGCCTCCCAAAGTGCTGGGATTACAGGCTTGAGCCATCTCCCCGGCCCATTTTTAGTCTTTTAAAGTAGACACAGATTTGTTTAGATCAAAGCTCATTTTAAAAGCATACAAAAGTGGAGCACAAAAATAGGATTAAATTTGGCAATACAGAATGATAAAGACTAAAAGATACTGAGTAGTTTCTTTGACAGAAAACTGATTATTCAAGGTAATTATCTATTATTTGCAGGCTGAAGTACTCACACTGCAAAAGAGAGCAGTTCAGTATATAAACTGAACAGTGAGGTCTTTAGTTGTACTTAGGTTTCTGTTTATTACTTCATAACAATTAGCATAGTTATATGTAGTGTTTGTAGACAACCTGCATTTATGTAAATTACAAAGTATTTCTGGTCTGGTGTGGTGGCTCACACCTGTAATCCTAGCACTTTAGGAGGCCAAGGCAGGCAGATCATGAGGTCAGAAGTTTGAGACCAGCCTGGCCAACATGGCGAGACCCTGTCTCTACTAAAAGTACAAAAATTAGCTGGTGTGGTGGCACAGCCTGTAGTCCCAACTACTTGGGAGGCTGAGGCAGGAGAGTCGCTTGAACCCACGAAGGGGAGGCTGCACTGAGCCAAGACCACACCATTGCACTCTAGCCTGGGTGACAGAGTGAGATTGTCTCAAAAAATATATATATTTTCTCCAATATAGTATGACTATAAGTCCACAAAATTTACTTTCAATTAATCTCTTAAAGAGGCATTTTAGTATTATTATTTATACTTTTGAAATATAAAGTGTTTTAACTGAAATATGGTAACAAACTTTTTTTTTCTTTTTTGACAGTCTCACTCTGTTTCCTGGGCTGGAGTGCAGCGGCACAATCTCAGCACACTGCAGTCTCTGCCACCTGTGTTCAAGCAGTTCTCGGCCTCCTGAGTAGCTAGGATTACAGGCACCCACCACCACGCCCTGCTAATTTTTGTTTGTAGTTTTAGTAGATATGTGGTTTCACCATCTTGGCCAGGTTGGTCTTGAACTCCTGACTTCATGATCCACCCATCTTGGCCTTCCAAAGTGTGCTGGGATTACAGTTGTGAGCCACCGTACCTGGCCTTTTTTTTTTTTTTGACAAAGAGTTTGGTTCTTGTCACCCAGGCTGGAGTGCAATGATACGATCTCCATCTTGGCTCACCACAACCTCTGCCTCCTGGGTTCAAATGATTTTCCTGCCTGAGCCTTCCAAGTAGCTGGAATTACAGGCATGCGCCACCACACCCGGCTAATTTTGTATTTTTAGTAGAGACAGGGTTGCTCCATGTTGGTCAGGCTGGTCTTGAACTTGAGACCTCAGGTGATCTGCCTGCCTTGGCCTCCCAAAGCGGTGGGATTATAGGCATGAGCCACTGCACCCGGCAGTTACAGACATTTAAAAAAAATTTACATTCATTATGACTAGTACATTAAAATTATATATACTTAGATATTTATATTTAATATCCAAAAAATTTACTATAAAATTGTTATAGTAGATATTAGTCTAAAATGCTTATTAATCTATCTAATAGGGATAACTCTAGGTAAGCATAATTTTAGTATCTTGTATTTCACTAACTTGGAATGCTGCTATTACAGGACAAACACAGGTGACATGGCCACCCAAAAACCATAATAGTTCTTTTTTTTTGAGACGGAGTTTCATTCTTGTTACCCAGACTGGAGTGCAATGGCACGATCTCCGCTCACCGCAACCTCCGCCTCCTGGGTTCAGGCAATTCTCTTGCCTCAGCCTCTTGAGTAGCTGGGATTACAGGCATGTGCCACCATGCCCAGCTAATTTTTTGTATTTTTAGTAGAGACGGCGTTTCATCATGTTGACCAGGATGGTCTCAATCTGTTGACCTCTTGATACACCTGCCTCGGCCTCCCAAACTGCTGGGATTACAGGCGTGAGCCACCGCGCCCGGCCCCATAATAGCTCTTAAGTTAACTGTGTTGTAAGCTCAAATATGTTCTAGTATATGAAAAGAGAGGGATTCTAATTCTTCTTCATCAGAAAGTGCTGGTGGAAGTTGTCAGGTGTATTTCAACGTACATCCCCCATTCAGTGGCAAGGAGATGAGAGAGCAGCAGAGATGAAAAAGAAACCTTATAAAATTCTGTCGAGAATTAGCTGGGCATGGTGGCATGTGCCTGTAATCCCAGTTACTCAGGGGGCAGGAGAATTGCATGAACCCAGGAGGCAGAGGTTGCAGCGGGCCGAGATCGTGCCACTGCACTCCAGCCTGGGCGACAGAGCGAGACTTCGTCTCAAAAAAAGTAAAGTAAGAGCACAATTATGTCTTTCTCCCCCATGTTAGCTGTGTATTCATCTCTTGAAACCATTCACCATTGCCACAAGTAGCTATCAATTTAACTAATAATGCAACACTGAACACTGTAAGACTTAAACTGTAACCCTTAATGATGGAGAGCCAATCAATAGCCAATGTTATTGCTGTAGATCAGTAAGAAAGGTAGGTAAAGTTACGGTTATGACTCTGGATACTTTGTTGCCTTGATCTCACTCCCAAAATTGTTTGTTGCTAACACTCTCTGTCCCGCTTTTTTACAGTCCAGAAATACTAGGAAAAACACAGGCTGTTTTACTAACTGGATGTTTGACAAAATATTCTTCTTGGGCCAAAAACATTGGCATTACTGGTGAACTTGTTAGAAATTCAGAAACTCAGACTTTATTCCAAATCTTCCGAAAAAATAATCTGCATTAACAAGTTATCCAGTTTATTGTACAGGTTAAAATTTGAGGGGTACCTTCTATCTCAACATGTCTTTTTGATCTGAAAAATATACACAACTCATTCTGTATCATGTGAATATAACGCTCAAAAATGCATGTTTGTGTTTATGCCCTTAATTCTATACTTGACTATTCAGAAAAATAGCATATATACACTGATCTTGTGGATCCTTTGCCACTCTTTTCTCAGAGAACACATTAGAAAATGTTTCTATGTTGAAAACTATTTTATTAGATAATTTTAGTCACTTATAGAAATCAGAACCAGTTCTCTACTCTCATTTGACCCTGAGTCATGTCAAAAATTTTGCCCATGGCCACTTGGTGAATGTGTTTGTGGGTGTGTTTTGTAGAGTCAGAGAATACATTAGAGAATATTTCTGTGTTAAAAATTATTTTCTTAGTCAGGTGTGGTGGCTCATGCCTGTAATCCCAGCACTTTGGAAGGCGGAGGCAGGCAGATCACTTGAGGTCAGGAGTTTGAGACCAGCCTGATCAATATGGAGAAAACTGTCTCTACTAAAAATACAGAAAAAATTGGCCCGGCATGGTGGTGCTTACCTCTATTCCCAGCTACTCGGGAGGCTGAGGCAGGAGAACCTGGGAGGCAGAGGTTGTGGTGAGCCAAGATTTCGCCATTGCACACCAGCTTGGGCAACAAAAGTGAAATTCCATCTCAAAAAAAAAAAAAAAAAAAAAAAATTATTTTCTTGACCAGGCATGGTGGCTCACACCTGTAGATCCCAGCACTTGGGGAGGCCGAGGCAGGCAGATCACGAGGTCAGGAGTTTGAGACCAGCCTGGCCAACATAGTGAAACCCCGTCTCCACTAAAAATATAAAAAATTAGCCAAGTGTGGTGGTGTGTGCCTGTAATTCCAGCTACTCAGGAGACTGAGGCAAGAGAATCAAGTGGACTCAGAGGGCAGAGGTTTCAGTGAGCTGAGATCACACCACTACACTCCATCCTGGGCAAGAGTGTGAGACTCCTTCTCAAAAAAACAAGGAAAAAATTTAAAAATTTTTAAAAATAAAATAAAAGCTATTTTCTTGGGTAATTTCAGTCACTTCTATAAGTCAGAACCTGTTTTCTGTGTTCTTTAACTATACCTTGAGTCAGATTAAAAATTCTGTCCATGACCACTTGGTAAATACATGCATGTCTTGTGTTTGTGTGTTTTTCAGGCGCCATTGACATTTAGGGATGTGACTGTAGAATTCTCTCTGGAGGAGTGGCAATGCCTGGACACTGCACAGCAGAATTTATACAGGGATGTGATGTTAGAGAACTACAGAAACCTGGCCTTCCTGGGTGAGGATAACTTTAATGCTCAATTCCTAATATACCCTAAAGGCTTTATTTCTGTTTTTGTTTGTTTGTAGAGTGTTTTCTGGTAATTTGGTGATTTTGATAACTATGCTTTGCATACATGAGTTTCAAATTTCTGTTTCAAGAAAATCATAAGGATTTGTCAGTGTAGGAAAAAAAATTTCCTCAAGATATTTCATCTTGAACTGATCAGTATCCCTCACTCTAGATTAGTGGTAATTCCAGAAATTTAGTGGCATAAAATATTGTTGCCCACACCGTAAAAACTAATTGCTACCACCAATTTTTTTATTCAGTAGTACTGGGTAGTGAAATTAAGAACCTACAAATATACGGTATTTTCTAAATATTTAGAAATTTCTGTTAAAAATTAGTATTTGGGGTAAATGTATTAGAATATTACATCCTTTTTACTGAGCACATTACTAAGTTGGTAATTGGAGAATATGAGCAAGATGCATGTTACTTATTTTTAATAAAACAGGTATTGCTGTCTCTAAGCCGGACATGATTACCTGTCTGGAGCAAGGAAAAGAGCCCTGGAATATGAAGAGACCTGAGATGGTGGCCAAACCCCCAGGTAGGTGAGAGTGAAACCGAATAAAACAGATGAGAGATCCAAAGGTCAAGGAGAAAGCAAATCCTTAAAATGTCATTTGGGAAGCTGTGTTCCAAAGGATATAGTTTCTGGAAGCCTGAGTTGTTATTTTCTTTGCTTTCACATAGGGACGTTTTCTGTCTTATGCTTTTAAATTATCTAAAGATTCTACTTCCCTTTCAGTCATGTTCCTTCAAGTTTATAGTGAGAGCCAAAGTCCTCTTCATGGCATAGAAGAGACTGGACAATCTGACTGCTTTTTCATTGTTTTTAGGGACACACAAATATCTGCATAATTTTCAAAAACTTTATGTTAAACAATTTTTTACGTCCTCCTTTTACATCATGTCTGAAATGAATGGAGAAGTGGTTCCTGGTCCATTGAATTTTTGTTAATTTTTCTGCATATTCCATTATTTTTTTTTAGTATATTATTGAAAGAGAATTTGGAATTTTTTTTTTTTTTTTTTTTTTTTTGAGACGGAGTTTCATTTTTGTTACCCAGACTGGAGTGCAGTGGCGCGATCTCAGCTCACCACAACCTCCGCCTCCTGGGTTTAAGCAATTCTCCTGCTTTAGCCTCCCAAGTAGCTGGGACTACAGGTACATGCCACCATGCCCAGCTAATTTTTGTATTTGGAGTAGAGATGGGTTTTCGCCATGTTGACCAGGATGGTCTCGATCTCTTGACCTCGTGATCCACCCACCTGAGCCTCCCAAAGTGCTGGGATTATTGGCATGAACCACCGCGCCCAGCCTATTTGTACATTTCTTACACAAAATTAGCCAGGTGTGGTGGCACATGTTTATAATCTCAGCTACTCAGGAGGCTGAGGCGGGAGAATCGATTGAACCCAGGAGGCAAAGGTTATGGTGAGCTGAGATTGCACCATTGCACTCCAGCTGGAAAACAAGAGCAAAACTCCATTTAAAAAAAAATAGATTTGAAACCTTTAAAAAAATTAGGTTTTCTTTTGTTGTTGTTTTTGAGCCAGAGTCTCACTGTGTTGCCCAGACTGCGGTGCAATGGCATCAGCTCACTGCAACCTCTGCTTCCTGGGTTCAAACAATTCTTGTACTTTAATCTGCTGAGTAGCTGGGATTATAGGCACGTGCCACCAAGCCTGGCTAATTATTTTTTTTTTTTTTTTTTTTGAGACGGAGTTTTCGCTTTTGTTACCCAGGCTGGAGTGTAATGGCGCAATCTCGGCTCACCACAACCTCCACCTCCTGGGTTCAGGTGATTCTCCTGCCTCAGCCTCCTGAGCAGCTGGGATTACAGGCACGCGCCACCATGCCCTGCTAATTTTTTGTATTTTTAGTAGAGACGGGTTTCCCCATGTCGACCAGGATGGTCTCGATCTCTTGACCTCATGATCCACCCGCCTCGGCCTCCCAAAGTGCTGGGATTACAGGCTTCAGCCACCGCGCCCGGCCACCTGGCTAATTTTTGTATTTTTAGTAGAGATGGGGTTTCACCATGTTGGCCAGGCTGGTCTCAAACTCCTGACCTCAGGTGATCCACCTCCTTGGCATCCCAAAGTGCTGGGATTCCAGGCATGAGCCACCACGGCTGGCCAAAATTTTAGGTTGGTTGTTTGTTTTTTTGAGATGGAGTCCTGCTCTGTCACCCAGGCTAGAGTGCAGTGATGTGGTCTTGGCTCACTGCAGTGTCTTCCTGCCGGGTCAAAGTGATTCTCTTGCCTCAGCCTCCAAAGTAGCTGGGATTACAGACATATGCCACCACACCTAGCTAATTTTGTATTTTCAGTAGAGACGAGATTTCACTGTGTTAGCCAGGATGGTCTTGAACTCCTGACCTCAAGTGATCTGCCTGTCTCAGTCTCCCAAAATGCTAGGATTACAGGTGTAAGCTACCACACCTGGCTCAAAATTTTAGTTTAAAAATATTTGTTTAGATTTGTTTTCCAGCCTACCAAGTGGTCTATCCAAAAGAATGTTGTATGAGCTATTGCAAAGGGTGTGTTTCCTGATGTTGTGAAGTGTTCTCTGTATCTCTGTTAGAAATACTTTTTTTTACACTGCCTTCAAGTCCACTGTTTCCTTACTAATATTCTCTTGTTTTATTATCAGAGAAAGTGAAGTATCGAAATGTCCTATTATAATTATGTTTTCTATGTGTTTCTTGAATTATGTCAATATTTATGTTCCATATTTGTAAACCTAATGTGAGATACACACACATACACACACACACACACACACACAAGTTTTTCATAGGTTCTCAGTGAATAAATCTATTATTGCTTAATGTACTTCTTTGTCTTTTTGGAGTTTTGACTTCATACACATTTTATATGATATGAGGGTTTGATTAAAGATATAGCTTGTGGCTGGGCATGGTGGCTCACGCCTGTAATCCCAACATTTTGGGACGCCAAGGCAAGTGGATCACATGAGGTCAGGAATTTGAGACCAACCTGGCCAACATGGCGAAACGCCATCTCTATTAAAAAATACAAAAATTAGATGGGCGCGGTGGCAGGCGCCTGTAATCCCAGGTACTTGGGAGACTGAGGTAGAAGAATCACTTGAACCCAGGAGGACGAGGTTGCAGTGAGCCGAGATTGGGCCATTGCACTCCAGCTTGGGAGACAGAATAAGACTCTGTCTCAAAAAAAAAAAAAAAATGTAGCTCGTGTATTACTACTTTGACTTTTCTGCTCTCATTTGCTTAATATTTGGATAAAATGTCTACTTCAATTTTGCCACTTTCAGGCTTTTTTTTATTATTAGTTCTAAACTTACTCTTGTAGAAAGGCAAGTCAAGTCTTGAGATTTTATTTTTTTTATTTTATTTATTTATTGAGACAGAATTTCGCTCTTGTTTCCCGGGCTGGAGTGCAATGACGTGATCTCAGCTCACCACAACTTCCACCTCCTGGGTTCAAGCAATTCTCCTGCCTCAGCCTCCTGAGTAGCTGGGATTACAGGCATACACCACCACCTCCAGCTAATTTTGTATTTTTAGTGGATATGGGGTTTCTCCATGTTGGTCAGGCTGGTCTCGAACTCCAGCCTCAGGTGATCCACCCACCTTAGCCTCCCCAAAGTGCTGGGATTATAGGTATGAACCATCAAGCCCAGCCGAGTTTAATTTTTTTAAATAAATCCCTTTGTTGAAAGTACGTGTCTTGATTAAAAAGTTAATTATATATTTAAGTAATTTTCTGAAAGACAAAGACTTCCTGTTACTTTTGTATTTTACTTGATTCTTGTATCTTTATCCCTCATGTTCTCTCTTTCTGTCTGTGTCTGTTTCATTTTAGTATTGATACGCTTTTACTTCTTTCTTATTTTCTTTTGGGTCTCTATAGATATTTCCTTTGTGGTACCTTGGGGATTACATAAAATCTCTGAGGCTGGGCTTGGTGGCCCATGCCTGTAATCTCAGAGCTTTGGGAGGCTGAGGTGGGTAGATCACGAGGTCAGGAGATCAGACCATCCTGGGCATAGTGAAACCCCATCTCTAATGAAATACAAAAAATTAGCCAGGCATGGTGGCATACATCTGTAGTTCCAGCTATTCAGGAGACTGAGGCAAGGGACTCCCTTGAACCTGGGAGACAGAGGTTGCAGTGAGCCAAGATCTCGCCACTGCATTCCAGCCTGTTGACAGAGCCAGACTCCATCTCAAAAAAAAAAAAAACTCTAAAAGATAAAACAGTATATAAATAATCTAATCTGGTGAAAAATGAACTTCAGTTACAGACAAAAATTTTTCCTCATGACATCTGCCCTCAACTTTGTTATTGATGTTGCTGATTATATCTTTTTAAGGTGTATGTTTATTAACAAATATTTGCAATAATTTCTCTGCTCTTATTTTTCAAATTTTAGAGAATAATTATAAGTGTTTTCTGATCCATTATGGTAATGATAAGGAATTCTTTTTTTTTTTTTTTGGCTCTGTGACTCAGAGACGAGCAGGAATTCTATTTTTGTGTGTGTATATTTCCCAGGAACTTATATGTTTTTTATGATTATGTGTTGTTTTCTTGCATCATGTTATTTTTAGTGGAAAAAAGCTTTTTCCAGCATCTTTGATAATAGGCCATATGCGATGCCAATATACTGTCTCAGGATTTGGTTATTTTCTGTCCTTTTTTTTTTTTTTTTTGTCTTTGGTAGGACATTTTCACTGATGATTATTACTCTTACTTGACAGCTATTTTTCTTCAGGACTTTGACAGTATAACACAGTTTAATTCTGGCCTGCATTTTTTTTTTTTTTTTTTTTTTGAGACGGAGTTTAGCTCTTGTTACCCAGGCTGGAGTGCAATGGCGCGATCTCGGCTCACCGCAACCTCCGCCTCCTGGGTTCAGGCAATTCTCCTGCCTCAGCCTCCTGAGTAGCTGGGACTACAGGCACGCGCCACCATGCCCAGCTAATATTTTGTATTTTTAGTAGAGATGGGGTTTCACCATGTTGACCAGGATGGTCTCAATCTCTTGACCTCGTGATCCACCTGCCTTGGCCTCCCAAAGTGCTGGGATTACAGGCTTGAGCCACCGCACCCAGCCTAATTTTTTTTTTTTTTTAAACTCACTGTTTAGTGTGTAAGTCTATGCTTATAAATGACACATCACCTTTATCTTGCAACTCTTGAGATTCTCTCTTGTCTGTGACATTTTAAGTTGTTCTTATATATGTGTTTTTTAGAAATATCTTGTGTGTGTGTTTTAGTTTGTTGAGCTTCTTTATTTTTTATTTTATTTATTTATTTATTTTTGGAGACAGTTCCACTCTGTCCCTAGGCTGGAGTGCAGTGCTGCGATCTCAATTTACTGCAACCTCTGCCTCCCGGATTCAAGCCATTCTCCGACCTCAGCCTCCCAGGTAGCTGGGACTACAGGCACTTGCCACCACACGCAGCTAATTTGTGTGTTTTGAGTAGAGATGGGGTTTCACAGTGCTGTCCAGGATGGTCTCGATTTCTTGACCTTGTGATCCACCTTCCTTGGCCTCCCAAAGTGCTGGGATTACAGGTGTGAGCCATGCTCAGCCAAACTTTATATTTTTATGCCATTTTTTTCTTTTGGAATTGGTTAGTTATCTCTTTTTGTATTTTTTACCTCCACAATTACTGTTTTTAAAATACTTTTAATATTTTTGCTAATTTACATTTTTTCTAATTTTCAGTAATTGTGCTTCTTTTACTCATTATTCAACTTATTTTAAATTTCCAAAATTAATCTATATATTTTTATTTTATGATGATTGCTTTCTGAAAATTTTACAATTTTTTTGATGGGGCCATGTTGCCCAAATATTTTCCATACATTGTAATCTTTGAGACTTAGACATTAAAAAAAGAAAAAAGCTACCTGTCACCTGAGTCTAGTAAGTGGAATAATTTGTTGTTTTAATTTCTTTTAGTGATTTGTTCTCATTTTGCTGAAGACCTTTGGCCAGAGAAAGACATAAAAGATTTTTTCCAAAAAGTCATACTGAGGAGATATGATAAATGTGGACATGAGAATTTACAGTTAAGAAAAGGCTGTAAAAGTACGGATGAACATAAGGTGTGCAAAGGAGATTATAACAGACTTAACCAATGTCTGATAACTATTGAGAGCAAATTATATCAATATGATAAATACGTGAAAGTCTTTTATAAGTTTTCAAATTCAGATAGTCATAAGATAAGACATACTAAAAAGAAGACATTCAAATGTAAAGAATGTGGCAAATCATTTTGCATGCTTTCACAACTAACTCTACATAAGAGAATTCACATTAGAGAGAATTCCCACACGTGTGAAGAATGTGGAAAAGCCTTTAACAGGTCTTCATACCTTACTCGACATAAGAGAATTCATAGTGGAGAGAAACCCTGCAAATGTGAAGAGTGTGGCAAGGCCTTTAACCGGTCCTCATACCTAACTCGACATAAGAGAATTCACAGTGGAGAGAAACCCTGCAAATGTGAGGAATGTGGCAAAACCTTTAACCAGTCTTCATACCTTAGTCGACATAAGATAATTCATAGTGGAGAGAAACCTTACAAATGTGAACAGTGTGGCAAAACCTTTAACCGATCTTCACACCTTACTCGACATAAGATAATTCACACTGGAGAGAAACCCTACAAGTGTGAACAGTGTGGCAAAGCCTTCAACCGATCCTCATACCTGACCCAACATAAAAGAATTCATACTGGAGAGAGACCCTACAAATGTAAAGAATGTGACAAAGCCTTTAATGACTTCTCAGCCCTTACTCGACATAAGACAATTCATACTGGAGAGAAACCCTACAAATGTGAACAGTGTGGCAAAGCCTTTAATTACTTCTCAACCCTTGCTCGACATAAGATAATTCATACTGGAGAGAAACCCTACAAATGTGAACAATGTGGCAAAGCCTTTAACTGGTCTTCACACCTTACTCGACATAAGATAATTCATACGGGAGAGAAACCCTACAAATGTGAACAGTGTGGGAAAGCCTTTAACTGGTCTTCACACCTTACTCAACATAAGAGAATTCACACTGGAGAGAAACCCTACAAATGTAAAGAATGTGGCAAAGCCTTTAAGCAGTCCTCAACTTTTACTCAACATAAGATTATTCATACTGGAGAGAAACCCTACAAGGGTAAAGAATGTGGCAAAGCCTTTAACGACTTCTCAACACTTACTCAACATAAAATAATTCATACTGGAAAGAAACCATACAAGTATAAAAATGTGGCAAAGCATAAGATAATTTATACTGGAAAGAAACCCTACAAATGTGAAGAATGTGGCAAACCTTTTAATTGTTTCTCAAACTTTACTGTACATAAGAGAATTCATGCTAGAGAGAACCCCAACAAATGAGAAGAATGTGGCAATGCTAGTAACAATTCCTCAAACCTTATTAAACATAACCCATGTTGGAGAAAAACCCTACAAATGTAAAGAATGTGTCAAAGCTTTTTTTTTTTTGAGACTGAGTTTCGCTCTTGTTACCCAGGCTGGAGTGCAATGGCGTGATCTCGGCTCACCGCAACCTCTGCCTCCTGGGTTCAGGAAATTCTCCTGCCTCAGCCTCCTGAGTATCTGGGATTACCACCATGCCCAGCTAATTTTTGTATTTTTAGTAGAGACAGGGTTTCACCATGTTGACCAGGATGGTCTCAATCTCTTGACCTCGTGATCCACCCGCCTCGGCCTCCCAAAGTGCTGGGATTACAGGCTTGAGCCCCCGCGCCCGGCATGTCAAAGCTTTTAACAGTTCCTCAGTCTTTACTAAACATAAGGGAATTCATAATAGAGAAACCCTACAAATCTGAAGAATGTGGGCTGGCTTTTAATAAGTCATCAATATTTACTAAACACAAAGTAATTCGTACTGGATAGAAACCCTTCAAATGGGATGACTGTCGCATAGCCTTTACCCAGTTCTCAACTCTCACTAACATGAGAATTCATGTAGAAGATAAAGCCTACAAATACGAAGAAAGTGAGAAAGTCTTTAAAAGTCCTCAACCCTTATTACATATAATTTATACTCAACAGAAATCCTAAAGTGTGAAGAATGTCACAAAGCCCTTAACATCTTCTCAATTCTTAACAGATATAAGATGATTTATACTGGAGTGAAATGCTACAATCCTGAATGATGTCACAGTGCTTTTAACAACACCTCAAAGTTTTCTAAACATAAAAAATACGTATACTAGTGCAAAACTCTAGAGACATAATGTGAAAAATCTTTTACATGGTTTTCACAGTTGATTGCAGGAAAAATAATTTATACTGGAAATAACGCCAAGAGTGAAGAATATGGCAAAACTCCTAACCAGTGTTCACAACTTATTGCACAGGCAAGCATTTATACTTGAGAAATGGTGTACAAATATAAAGAATGCACCAAAGTCATTAATATCTGCTCATCATATTATGCAACATCAGAGTTTATATTTAATAAAAGTATTATAAATACAATTACTGTCAAATGATCTTTTAGAAACATAAGGCTTTAAAGTGAAGAAGAGTTTGTTCTCAAGATAAACATTACAAATACAATGAAGGTTGGAGTACTTTTACTTATATCACAGATTTTATTGTACACATTTTGTACTGGAGAATAACTCAAGCAGTTGCTCAAACTTTGTTTAACATTAGGGAATTTATATTGGAGAAAATTCAGCCAATGTAATGAATTTGGAAAGACACCTGTAGCTTAGAAAATGTCAGAGAGCTCATACTAAAATGTACTTTTGCAGGTGCAATAAGTATGAAAAAATATTTAATTCAAATTGATATTTATGTAAATATCAGAATTAACAATAGAAATATCTAAGGCACTGACACTTCAGACATTACACTAAATCAGAGTGCTGGGTATAGGAAATTCAAAACTACAATGGTAAGTAAATTAATTTTATATAACTTTAAAGTGAGTAGAAATTTCTTTAAAAAGTTATAATTACATTCAGGTATACTTTTTTGATAAGATTTAAAAGTTTTTTTTTTGTTTGTTTTTTGAGACAGAGTTTCGCTCTTGTTACCCAGGCTGGAGTGCAATGGCGAATCTTGGCTCACCGCAACCTCCACCTCCTGGGTTCAGGCAATTCTCCTGCCTCAGCCTTCTGAGTAGCTGGGATTACAGGCACACGCCACCATGCCCAACTAATTTTTTGTATTTTTAGTAGAGACAGGGTTTCACCATGTTGACCAGGATGGTCTCGATCTCTTGACCTCGTGATCCACCCGCCTCGGCCTCCCAAAGTGCTGGGATTACAGGTGTGAGCCACCGCACCCGGCCCTTAAAAGTTTTTAAAAGTAAATAATGGTGTGATTCAACTCAAAATGTAAGATGCACTCACGCCTATAATCCCAGCACTTTGGGAGGCCGAGGTGGGTGGATCACGAGGTCAAGAGATCGAGACCATCCTGGTCAACGAGGTAAAACCCCGTCTCTACTTAAAAAAATACAAAAATTAGCTGGGCATGGTGGTGCATGCCTGTAGTCCCAGCTACTCAGGAGGCTGAGGCAGGAGAATTGCTTGAACCCAGAAGGTGGAGGTTGCGGTGAGCCGAGATCGTGCCATTGCACTCCAGTCTGGGTAACAACAGCAAAACTTCGTCTCAAAAAAAAAAAGGCATGATAAGCATCTAAGTGGGGAGGCTCTTCATGGTTAACTTTCTCAGTAATGTATGAGGTAGCTGTTCAGAGTAATATTCTTTCCTGTTACCATTAGAGAAAAACATTTTTAACTTTAGTAAAATATTAATTAAAATAGCATATAATTTTACTAATTGTACTTTTATTTAATAAAATGAACATTTAAAAATTTTTAGATTATGTGTGGACTTAATTTCTAATTAAATATTTTCTTTTACCATGTTAAGACTATTATACATTCTGGCTGGGCGTGGTGGCTCACGCCTTTAATCTCAGCATTTTGGGAGCCTGAGGTGGGCAAATCACTTGAGGGCAGGAATTTGAGACCAGCCTGGCCAACATGGTGAAACCCAGTCTCTACAAAAATACAACAAATCAGCCACAGGTGGTGGACACCTGTAATCCAGCTACTAGGAAGATAGAGGCAGGAGAATCCCTTGAACCTGGGAGGCAGAGGTTGCAGTGAACCGAGATCATGCCATTGCACTTCAGCCTGAGCAACAAGAGCAAGACTCCATCTCAAGGAAAAACGAAGAATGTTGTGCATTCAACGAAGCATTATTATTCCACTAACTTTAACATACCCCACCTTACTCAAGGGGGTAGGTAAAATGTGGTAACAATATACCATTTGGCAACATAGTGGAATAACAGCTCTAAGTAATCTCTCCTGCCAGTAGTTTCAAACTGCAAATAGGTGAAAATAGTTTTTCCATAGATTACATTTTTGTTTTTTTCTTATTTATTTTTAATTTTTGTGGTTACACAGTATGTGTATATATTTATGCCATATATGGCATATTTTGGTACAGGCATATAATATGTAAGAATTACATCTGAGGGGCCAAAGTGGCTCCCACCGGAGGTCGTGGCGCTCGTGAAGGCGAGGTCATGAGTTCAAGGCTAACCTGAGCAACCTCATAAGCTCAAACTGATTGGCAAAAAAAAAAAGAATTACATCTGGATAAATGAGGTACCCACCTCTAGAATTTATCCTTTTTTTGTTTTGTTTTGTTTTGTTTTCCTCTCTGATGTCTGGGAAGAATTTATCCTTTTTATTACAATTTGATTAGAATGACTAAAATACTGTTAGTTATTTTTAAATACTTTTAGTTATTTTAAAATATTAAAAATACTTTGTTTTACAATTTACAATTGTTCTTTACTACAGGGTTATTTTTGAGTAATAAAATTCATAGAGATGTATGCTGAGAAATGCTGAGTGTATGATTACTGAGAAATGCTGAGTGATAAAATATATTGTTTGCTAATAAGAACAATGGCAAGGAAAACTTAATACTAATCACCTGTTTAGAGAGAATAAATGCACAAGTCAGAATCTGCTCAAGACCCTCAGCCAGGAATGCTGTTAGCCCCCTGAAGCTCAGCTCCGACGGCTGTAGGCCCCTGGATAGTCCCACTTTGCTGTTCTATCTGGGTGTCTGCTTAATGCCTTAAGCGCTGCCAGGGTAGGGGTCTGTATTGTGGAGCTGGTCTCGGTAAGTGGTGCCCAGGTGTGGGACTCAAACCTGGGACAAGGGTCGCTTGAATGACAGAGAAGGGAGAAGCTAAGCTGAAGGTATCTCAGGAACTCTTGAAAAAAATCTCCCAGGGTAAGTTGGGGGAGCCCAGAAGTAGCCCGATAACACTTGAAAAAGTCTCCCAGCATAAATTGGGGAGCTTGGAATTAGTCTGAGAACTCTTCAAAAATCTCTTAGGGTGAGCTGGAAGTATAAAATTGATTTGCAGTAGCTTTGAAGGGCTCTTGAAAAAAATAAAAGAAAAAAAAGAGTAGACTGGGATACTTTAACCCAAACTTATCTCCCTCTCAATTTTTATAATTTAAGACCTGGTGGACTGAGGAGGCTAATATTCAAGCTAATATAGTTCAACCTCTGATTAATATTGCCATAGAATAGTTCACAGGAACTGGTGTGTGGGCTCCTTTACATGCACAGTCCACTATGGCTGATCCAGTCATAGAGCAGATTAGAAAAGTGTGTTTGGCCGGGCACGGTGGCTCACGCCTGTAATCCCAGCACTTTGGGAGGCTGAGGCGGGTGGATCATGAGGTCAAGAGATCGAGACCATCCTGGTCAACATGGTGAAACCCCGTCTCTACTAAAAATACAAAAAATTGGCTGGGCATGGTGGCTCGTGCCTGTAATCCCAGCTACTCCGGAGGCCGAGGCAGGAGAATTGCCTGAACCCAGGAGGCGAAGGTTGCTGTGAGCCCAGATTGCACCATTGCACTCCAGCCTGGGTAATAAGAGTGAAACTCCGTCTCAAAAAAAAAAAAAAAAAATGTATTTTAGAAATTAGATTCTAAATAGAGTTAATGGTAAATGAGCAATTTTAAATTTAATTTTCTATGATATGTTTATAGCATAACTTTTGTTTCTATGCAGTATCTTTTTTTTTTTTTTCCCTTGTCTTTTTTGAGACAGAGTTTTGCTCTCACCTAGGCTGGAGTAAAATGGCCCAATCTTGGCTCACTGTGACCTCTGCCCCCTGGGTTCAAGCGATTCTCCTGCCTCAGCCTCCCTACTAGCTGGGATTACAGGCTCCTAAATGGCCCAATCTTGGCTCACTGTGACCTCTGCCCCCTGGGTTCAAGCGATTCTCCTGCCTCAGCCTCCCTACTAGCTGGGATTACAGGCTCCTATCACTGTACCCAGTTAAGTTTTGTATTTTTAGTAGAGATTGGATTTCACCATGTTGGCCAGGTTGGTCTTGAACTCCTGACCTCATGATCCACCCGCCTCGGCCTCCCAAAGTGCTGGCATAACATGAGTGAGTCACTGCTCCTGGCCTCAATTAATTTTTGTTTTGCCTGGATTAGCAGTTTTATAAGTCAGTTTCTTTATTAGAATTCTCACAGTTCTTACCCAGCCCAAACAATGTGATCCTAAAATAATCAGAAGCATGTACTCAACTTGTCTTTTTTTATCTATTCATGAGCCTCCTTAATGCACAATACTCTGCCAGGCATGGTGGCTCTCACCTGTAATCTCAGCACTTTGGGAGCCTGAGGGGTGTGGATCATGAGGTCAGGAGTTCGAGACCAGTCTGACCAACATCATGAAACCCCGTCTCTACTAAAAATACAAAACTTACCCAAGTGTGGTGGTGGGTGCCGGTAATACCAGTTAGTTGAGAGGCCAAGGCAGGAGACTTTTTTTTTTTGAGAAAGCTTGGCCTACCAACATGTTGGGATTACAGGCATGAGCCACCATGCCTGGCCTCAAACATCATTTTTAATTTGGCAATGCTTTCCATGTAATTGAACATATCAAATATGTCTGTCATTCTTTTTTTTTTGAGACGGGGTTTTGCTCTTGTTACCCAGGCTGGAGTGCAATGGCGCGATCTTGGCTCACCGCAACCTCCGCCTCCTGGGTTCAGGCAATTCTCCTGCCTCAGCTTGCCGAGTAGCTGGGATTACAGGCGTGAGCCACCGTGCCTGGCCCATGTCTATCATTCTTTTAAATGCTGTATTGGCCCTCTGTAGCATTCAAAAGTTAGGGGTTAAAAAAAGACAATTTTAAAGCTAAAATTTGATTTTGGAAAACCTGTCAAATATGTCAAAAGATTAAAACACTTTTTTGATATGTGTAGGCTATTTATGACTTTCAACCCTAAAACTACTGTTCCTGGTCCAGGCGTGGTGGCTCACCCCTTTAATCCTAGCAGTTTGGGAGGCCGAGGCAAGTGGATCAACTGAGATCAAAAGTTAAAGACCAGCCTGGCCAATATGGTAAAACCCTTATCTCTGCTAAAGATATATATGTATATTGGCTGGCCACAATGGCTCACACCTACAATTCCAGTACTTTGGGAGGCCAAGGCGGGTGGATCATGAAGTCAGGAGATTGAGACCATCCTAGCCTATGTGGTGAAACCCCATCTCTACTAAAAATACAAAAATTAGCCTAGCATGGTGGAACGCGCCTATAATCCCAGCTACTTGGGAGGCTGAGGCAGGAGAATAGCTTAAACCCGGGGATCAGAGGTGGCAGTGAGCTGAGATTGCAGCACTTCACTCCAGCCTAGGCAAAAGAGTGAGACTCTGTCTCAACAAGCAGACAATGAAAAACAAGAAAACGTTACTGTGCCTGAAACAACCTCCTATTTGAATGAAGTGACTACATAGACAGATCTGCTAAGATGTTTCATTCTACTGAAGTTTAGCAAAGTAGCTGAGTACATCTTGAAGTTGTCCTTTGATTTTTACAGTGGCAGAGCTACTATTCAAGATCTGAAAGTCAGAAGCAGCCATGGGGCACATCTCAGCAGCACACACAGAAATCATGCACAGAATGCATTCCTCACCCTGAACCAATTGTTTTTAGTTCTGTCCCAGTCTGCATGTAAAAATCCCTTGGTGAGGGGGTTAAAAATTCCCTAAACACAAGTTGACACACTCAAATTAAATTAGAATTGCTTATGTAGAACCCAGGCAATAGTGCGGTTTAAATCTCTGTAGGTGATGACAGAGGGCAGCCAAGCTCAAATGCCACAGCTACAAACCAGCATTTTTAGGTGACCTAGTTGGAAAAAATATACATATATATTTTTTGAGACAGAGTTTCGCTCTTGTTACTCAGGCTGGAGTGCAATGGTGTGATCTCGACTCACAGCAACCTCCGCCTCCTGGGTTCAGGCAATTCTCCTGCCTCAGCCTCCCGAGTAGCTGGGATTACAGGCATGCGCCACCATGCCCAGCTACTTTTTGTATTTTTAGTAGAGACGGGGTTTCACCGTGTTGACCAGGATGGTTTCGATCTCTTGACCTTGTGATCCACCCGCCTCGGGCTCCCAAACTGTTGGGCTTATAGGCATGAGCCACCGCACCCAGCCTGTTGCAAAATATTTCTTTAATGAATGTAAAAATGTTTGCCACGAAGAACGATCCAAGATGGCCAATCGCTAACATCCCGGGATTGCAGCTCTCAGGGAAGGTGCAGAGAACTAGAGGATGCCACACTTTCAGACAAATTCTGGTCGCTCACGGAGCAGAAGATCCCCCAGTGGAGGAAACACACGGGTGGCCAGCGCGACTCTTGCCGGTGCAGCGGTTCCGCCGGCACCTCGGCTCGGCAGCTCTCGGAGCAGAGTAAACAGGTTTGGAGGACCCACAAGGGCCCCCAGCAGGACACCAGAGCCCCGCGCAGCGGCTGTGACAGCACCTCGGCGCGGCAGCGCTCGGTGCAGAGTAAGCGGGATCAGTTCCCCTTCTGACCGAGGTTTGGAGCCCCGGGAAGGCAGAGTCACCTACTACGGACACAAGAAGGAAGCCAGACAGGAGAATCCTGGGCAGAAAAGCACCATCAGTTTTAACACTGCTGCTCTGGCCCTGGGAACTAACAACCTGGACATCCACTCAAGAGACCTAATCTGAAAGTTGGTAATTTCAAAGACGACAGGAGGATAAATTTACAATGACGGGAAGAAACCAGGGTAAAAAAGCTGAGAATACTCAAAGTCAGAACGCCTCTTCCTCTAAAGATGATCACAGTTCCACATCGACAATGGAACAAGGCTTGATGGAGAACGAGCGCATCCTGATGACAGAATCACTCTTCAAGGAATGGATAATAACAAACTTCGGTGAGTTAAAAGACCATGTTGTAGCCCAACGTAAAGAAACTAGGAACTTTGAAAAAAGGTTTGATGAAATCCTATTGAGAATAGACAACTTAGAGAGGAGTATGAGTGAATTAATGGAACTGAAGAATACGATACAGGAACTCCGAGAAGTATGCACAGGTTTAAACACTCGAATTGTTCAAGCAGAAGAAGGGATATCAGAGGTCAAAGTCCAACTTAATGAAATAAAACGTGAAGAAAAGATTAGAGAAAAAAGGATAAAAAGGAATGAGCAAAGTCTCCAAGAAATGTGGGACTATGTGAAAAGACCAAATTTACGTTTGATAGGTGTACCTGAATGCGACGGAGAGAATGAATCCAAGATGGAAAATACCCTTCAGGATATCATTCAGGAAAATTTTCCTAAACTAGCAAAGCAGGTCAACATTCAACCCCAGGTGATACAGAGAACACCACAAAGATATTCCTCAAGAAGAGCAACCCCAAGGCACATAATCGTTAGATTCACCAGGGTTGAAACGAAGGAGAAAATACTGAGGGCAGCCAGAGAGAAAGGTCAGGTTACCCACAAAGGCAAGCCTATCAGACTTACAGCAGATCTCTCAGCAGAAACTCTACAAGCCAGAAGAGAGTGGGGGCCAATATTCAACATCCTCAAAGAACAGAACCTTCAGCCCAGAATTTCATATCCAGCCAAACTAAACTTCACAACTGAAGGAAAAATAAAATCTTTTATGAACAAGCAAGAACTCAGAGATTTTATTACCACCAGGCCTGCTTTACAAGAGCTTCTGAAAGAAGCATTACACACAGAAGGAAACAACCAGTATTAGCTTTTCTAAAAATACACCAAAAAGTAAAGAGCACCAACATAAAGAAGAATTTACATCAACGAATGGATAAAACAGCTGGTCAACATCAAATGGCAGTAATCCTAAATTTAAATTGACTAAATCCCCCAATCAAAAGACACAGCCAAAACCCAATGGCATGTTACGTCCAGACCTGTTTCACATGCAAGGATACACAAAGACTCAAAACAAAGGGATGGAGAAAGATTTACCAACCAAATGGAGAGCAAAAATAAATAATAAATAAAAAGCAGGAGTTGCAATTCTCGTATCAGATAAAATAGATTTTAAAGCAACAAAGATATCGTGGTAAAAGGATCAATGCAACAACAAGAGCTAACGATCCTAACACCCAGATACATAGAGACTTAGACACAATGAGACAGAAAATTAATAAGGATATCAAGGACTCGAACTCAGATCTGGAACAAGTAAACAATAAATATTTATAGAGCTCCCCACTTCAAATACACAAAATATACATTCTTGTCAATACCACACCACACCTACCCATAAGCTTAAATGAAACATTGATTGGCCATCATTAATACCCAATTTTTTTCAAAATAAAGGAATATTTCCATTTACTCTCCCTTTTTCTCTTCCTCCTTCTTCCTCTCCTTTACTTATATATTTTTTTCTTTCCTTCTCTCAAAAAAACAGAAGTAAACTTGTAAACCTCTAGATCCAGGTCGGCAATGTCTCTCTCATTGCTTGATTTCCTTCCTTCCCTTTCCTCCCTCCCTCCCTCACCGCTTTCTCCCTTCCTTCCTTCCTTCCTTCCTTCCTTCCTTCCTTCCTTCCTTCCTTCATCCCTTCCTTCCTCCCTTCCTGCCTTCCTCCCGCCCCCCCCCAAAAAAAAAAAAGTTTGCCACTAAGTCATGGCCTTTCAGTCTTCCCAGTGTTACCACATTATTATTCTTTACTGAACCAACCTTGCTGTTGGTTTTGTTCCTGAATCAACCCAGTTCCACATACACTTAGTGCACACTGTTCAAGGCACTGTGCTAGGTGCCCCGTTACTGGTGATCATTACTGTGATGGAAAAATTTTCTGAAAAAGAAAAAAGGTGTATCACTGAAAATTGAAAAACATGACCTGTATTAAAATGAGGTAAAAATAAAAAGATTTGGGTTTGGCTGGGCACGGTGGCTCACACCTGTAATCCCAGCACTTTGGGAGGCCAAGGCAGATCAGGGGGTCAGGAGTTCAAGACCAGCCTGACCAACATTTGTTGGTCGTCTAAAAATACAAAAATTAGCTGGGTGAGGTGGTGTGCCCTGTAATCCCAGGTACTCCAGAGGCTTAGGCAGGAGAATCGCTTGAACCCAGGAGGTGGGGGTTGCAGTGAGCCAAGATCAGGCCACTGCACTTTAGCTTGAGCAACAGAGTGAGACTTTTGGTCAAAACAAACAAAAAACAGCCAGCCATGGTGGCTTTTTTTTTTTTTGGGAGACAGAGTCTCACTCTGTTGTTGCTCAAGCTGGAGTCCAGTGGTGCAGTCTCAGCTCATTGCAACCTCCATCTGCCAGTTTCAAGCAATACTGCCTCAGCCTCCTGAGTACCTGGAGGACAGGCACACACCATCACGCCTGGCTAATTTTTCTATTTTTAGTAGAGACAGGGTTGCACCACATTGGCCAGCCTGTTCTCAAACTCCTGTCCTCATGGTCCACCCACCTCAGCATCCCAAAGTGCTGGGACTACAGGCATTAGCCACCGCACCCGGTCAGTATTTTTTTTTATGTACAGACAGGGTCCTACCAGATAGCCCAGGCTATTTGAGAGTCTAAGGTGGGAGTCATAAGTCTTATGAAGAAATTAAGAGAAAATGGTATTTATAAATATTTGGAGGCAGTTATTTTGAGGCTATGTAAGCACACTGTTTCCTCTTTAGATTTCACCCACAATTTCTGCATTCCTCAATACATCTTGTCTACAGTAATTATTACTGCGGTGTCTAGTGGTGATTTTCTCTATTGCATGTCTGTCTACATTGATTAGTACTTGGAATTCTATAAAGATTTTTTCTCTTTCCTCTTCTGTTTTCTTATTGAATTTTTTATATATCTGCATGAATTTGTGGATATTTCCTATATTGTCTGAGTTATAATGCAAGGCTATGATTATTTATTTTGCTTCTCACATTGTTCCAGCTTGGACTGCTGGAAAGTCTTCCAGGTTGGCTTCATGTGACATGTCTTCTTCTGTTGTTCATAAAGTACTTTTTAACTGTCTGTTTTCACAAGATACTCTGCCTTAACTTGGATTTTCCACTCCAGTACTAGAATTATCTATTTTTGTTATTTTTTTATTATTATTATTTTTTGAGACAGAGTTTCACTGTTGTTACCCAGACTGGAGTGCAATGGCACGATCTCGGCTCATCGCAACCTCTGCCTCCTGGGTTTAGGCAATTCTCCTGCCTCAGCCTCCCGAGTAGCTGGGACTACAGGTGCACACCACCATGCCCAGCTACTTTTTGTATTTTTAGTAGAGATGGGGTTTCACCTTGTTGACCAGGATGGCCTCGATCTCTTGACCTCGTGATCCACCCACCTCGGCCTCCCAAAGTGCTGGAATTATAGGCATGAGCCACCGCACCCAGCCTATTTTTGTTATTTTTTTTCTTATAAGAGATGGAATTTCACCATCTTGGTCAGGTTGGTCTTGAACTCCTGACCTTGTGATCCACCCACTTTGGCCTCCCAAAGTGTTGGGATTACAGGTATGAGCTACTGCACCTGGCCTAGAATTATCTATTTTTACTATAGTGTTTTTCCTCTCATTGAGGAATAGTATTTAGCAACCATAATATGAGAGCTAGGTGGGCTCATTAATACTGGGGTGTTGCGGCTGCTGTGGCAGCAAGGCCCGCCTGTTCTGAAGATCTCTGCACTGGCCTTTACGAGCCTCCTGCCTGGGCCAGGCCCTGTGGCTCTGCCATGGCAGCAGCATGGGTGGCACCTGGGGCACAGGCTGGGTCGAGACAGGCCTGCTCCTCAGCACGGATGCATGCTACTGCATTTACAGGCTGACACGCAGTCAGCGGCAGGGCAGCCGTGGGCTCAGTCTGCGCTCCTCACAGTCCACAGAAGACTTAACTGATGGTTCATATGATGATGTTCTGAATGCCGAATAACTTCAGAAACTCCTTTACCTGCTTGAGTCAACTGAGGATCCTATAATTATTGAAAAAGCTTTGATTACTTTGGGTAACAATGCAGCCTTTTCAGTGAACCAAGCTATTATTCATGAATTGGAGGGTATTCCAATTGCTGGAAACAAAATCAACCATTCCAACCAGAGTATTAAAGAGAAGGCTTTAAATGCACTTAACAACGGGAGTGTGAATGTTGAAAATCAAATCAAGATAAGGATATACATCAGCCAAGTCTGTGAGGATGTCTTCTCTGGTCCTCTGAACTCTGCTGTGCAGCTGGCCAGACTGAGATTGTTGACAAACATGACTGTTACCAATGACCACCAGCACATGCTTCACAGTTATATTACAGACCGGTCCCAGGTGTTACTTACTGGAAGTGGAAACACGAAAGTCCAAGTTTTGAAACTGCTTTTGAATTTGTCTGAAAATCCAGCCATGACAGACGGACTTCTCTGTGCCCAAGTGGATACGTCATTCTTTTTCCTTTATGGCAGCCATGTAGCAAAGGAGATTCTTCTTCAAGTACTTACACTATTTCAGAATATGAATAACTGCCTCAAAATAGAAGGCCATTTAGCTGTGCAGCCACTTTCACTGAAGGTTCATTGTTTTTCCTGTTATATGGAGAAGAATGTGCCCAGAAAGTAAGAGCTTTATTTCATCATGATGATGCAGAGGTGAAGGAAAAGGTTGTAACAATAATGCCCAAAATCTAATCAGTCATATTTTTCCAAAGAGTAATGCAGTCTGGATATAAACGTATTTTCTATCTTCCTTATAAGGAGATTCTTCCAGCTGCTGAATTTAAACAGTAACTATCACATTTCATCATTAACACAGCTACAACTTGCCACAGTGTTCAGATTTATCTTGGACTATTTTGATACCAAGTGAGTATAAGAGCTTGCACTGAAACCATTTCTTTTTATTTTGTTATTTGCAAATATTTGTTATTTTCCCTACATGAAGTGGCAGTACCTTTTTCACAAAGCTACCCTACTTTCTGAAGTGATTTGCAATTACTCATCTGAGACAGCATTAGAATGTGACTAAATCACTGTTTCAGAACTGTAGTAGGAATGGTCATGTTCTTTCAACAGCAATGAGATCCTAAGTTCTTTTTTTTTTTTTTTTTTGGTAGTTTGCTAAATGCCCTGTTTATTCTGCAAACAAGGCTTAGAAATATATAGACACATGGCTGGGCACGGTGGCTCAAGCCTGTAATCTGAGCACTTTGGGAGGCCAAGGCGTGTGGATCACGAGGTCAAGAGATCGAGATCATCTTGGTCAACATGGTGAAACCCTATCTCTACTAAAAATACAAAAAATTAGCTGGGCATGGTGGCGTGTGCCTGTAATCCCAGATATTCAGGAGGCTGAAGCAGGAGAATTGCCTGAACCCAGGAGGCGGAGGCTGCGGTGAGCCGAGATCATGCCATTGCACTCCAGCCTGGGTAACAAGAGTGAAACTCTGTCTCAAAAAAAAAAAAAAAAAAGAGAAAAGAAAAGAAATATATAGACACAATTTGTAGGTTGGACGATCTCTGTGTAGCTATGACTTCAAAACTGTACTTCACAAAAGCAGTAATTAGGGCAGCTTAGGAACACATTAACCTACCATTGTTTTATTCAGAGCGAACACAGTGAGAATAGATTCCTAAGGCCTGTTTCTCTAGGTGACTGTCACATTTTGCTGCTCTAGTCTTTAAGAACAAGTGGAGCCTTCATTTGAGCCGCCACCTCCTTGCCATTCAGAGCTTCAACAATTGCAAGCGTGAACTCAAAGCTGGTCCCAGGCCCACAGCTTGTAAGAATCAGGCCATCCTTTTCCACCCCGATTCTCAGAGTAGGTGTAATGACCTCCGTTCATCATTTTATCTTTAGCAAGAGGATGTGTTGTAACTTTACTTCCAAAACCTATTTCATGAGCCAACAAAGCAGTAGGACCTGCACAGATGGCGGCTATCAGACCCTTCCGGTTTTCCTGTTCCTTCAGTATCTCCTTCACAGCAGCAGACTCACATAAATTCTGTGCACCCAGATTACCTCCTGGTAGAACCACCACATCATATGGTCCCTCTTTTTTTGCATCTTCAAGACTGGCATCAGGACAAATCATGACATCACAGCTACACTGTACTGGGTCTTTTCCAGCCAGACCTGCAAGGGTGACCTTTATCCCAGCTCGCCGCATGACATCTACAGGGATGACGGTCTCCGTTTCCTCCTCTCCTTTAGCCAGGAGGACCAGAGCTCTTTTGGAAGCCATTTTTATATGTTTTAAAAGCCTATACCAGGCTGAAAGTGGACCGATCCTAAGTTCTTGATGCCACTCACCTGCCAACCTGACCACACTGCTTTCAAGTCTCTTCTCTTGAATAGAATCTATTTTGATTACTTCTAGTCAATGAAAAATGTAAACTTTTAGGAGAGAATGTTTCCTAGGACTCACCCACTCCCATTCAGTGCTCCAATATGTAAAGAAAGTTACATATAAAATACTGGGATCAATCACAATGTTCATCTTTAGGCAGTTGGTTAAATCAATTATCCAGTCTTTGAAAAGAGTTATGGAGGTCTGAATGTGCTGAATTGGAAAGATATCTATGTAATGTGGTGGGTTTTCTTTATAAAGACACAAGTTACAGAAGAACACGGGATCCCGTGTGTGTGTGTTTTTAAATGAAAAATGCATATTGACCGACACTTCTAGAATGATACCCAAACTCCTGCAGTGGGAATGGGGAATGCCTTCTACATACACACTTCTACCATGTGAATTTTTTACTATGAGCCGAAATTGTGTAATCTTTTCTTAAATAAGAAAAAAATCACTCAAAAAAAAATACTGGGGTGTCACTGCTTCTGAACCCTTTCAGCAGTTGGAGTATGAAAATGTACATATTAATACATTCATGTAGGAATAAATCTTTTAATCTCTGCTTCCCTCTCTCAATGAATATTTATGAGACATAATTTGCCCAAATATTTCCAGTTAAGCATCGTAGCTCATGCCTATAATGCCAATGCTTTGGGAGACTGAGGAAGGTGGGTTAGGGGCTAGGAATTTGAGACCAGCCTGGCCAACATGGTGAGACCCCATCATTACTAAACAGAAAAAAATTAACTAGGTGTGGCCAGGTGCAGTGGCTCACACTTGTAATCCCAGCACTTTGGGAGGCTGAAGCAGGCAGATCATGAGGTCAGGAGTTTGAAACCAGCTTGGCCAACATGGCAAAACCCTGTCTCTACTAAAGATACAAAAATTAGCTGTGTGTGATGGTGCGTGCCTGTAATCCCAGCTACTTGGGAGGCTGAGGCAGGAGAATCACTTGAACCCAGGAGATGGAGGTTGCAGTGAGCTGAGATCATGCCATTGTTCTCCAGCCTGGGTGACAGAGGGAGGCTTCGTCTCAAAAAAAAAAAAAAAATTAGCCAGGTATGTTCGTGCACATCTGTAATTTCAGCTACTTGGGTGGCTGAGTAATGAGAATCACTTGAACGTGGGAGGTGGAGGCTGCAGTGAGCCAAGAATGCACAACTGCACTACAGCCAGGATGACAAAGCAAGAATCTCTCAAAATGACAACAAATATTTGCAATTCCGGTCCAGCACTAAAGCACGTATTCTAAAACTCTCCGTTTCTTTTTTCAACTTCAAAGAAAAGCAGGCACTAATTACCGTGTGTATAGTATGTGTGTAGGTAGCTACGTGTGTGTGTGTGTGTGTATATATATATATGCCAACGTACAGTTTTAAAAATTGCTAATCCATTGGCTGGGCGCAATGGCTCATGCCTGTAGTCCCAGCACTTTGGGAGGCTAAACTCCTGACCTCAGGTGATCCCTGTGAGGTTGACAGAAAGGATGGAGAGGCAGATCCAGGATTAGGTTTAGCAAGTTTCTTTCAACCTGACAGGCTGGCTGCCTCACTACAGGCAGGAAAGGCAGCAGCCTGGCTTACAGACTGTGGGGGTTACATAGCGGGGTTTGCAGGTAGCCAGGTGCTAGTCTAAGAAAAACCGCATCTTGGTTCTCAGGGGCTGACATTCTGCTTAATCAAGTTAACAACCTGGGTTCGAGAGCCGGGTGCGACCACATCCTGGAACCCAGGTGCCCTGTTTACAAGGCTTGAGGCTGTTTTGTTATAAGCTCAGCTTAGCAGGGGAGGGGGCATATGGGCTTGCCTTGCTGTGACCCTAACAAGTCACCTGCCTTGGCCTCCTAAAGTGCCAGGATGACAGGCGTGAGCCACCGTGCCTGGCGGTTAAATTCTTTTTTTTTTTTTTTTTTGAGACGGAGTTTCACTGTTGTTACCCAGACTGGAGTGCAGTGATCTCGGCTCACCGCAACCTCAGCCTTCTGGGTTCAAGCAATTCTCCGGCCTCAGCCTCCCGAGTAGCTGGGACTACAGGCGCGCGCCACCATGCCCAGCTAATTTTTGTATTTTTAGTAGAGACGGGGTTTCACCTTGTTGACCAGGATGGTCTCGATCTCTTGACCTCGTGATCCACCCGCCTGGGCCTCCCAAGGTGCTGGGATTACAGGCATGAGCCACCGCGCCCGGCCCGTTTTTTGTTTGTTTGTTTGTTTTTGTTTTTTGAGACAGAGTTTCACTCTTGTTTTTCGGGCTGAGATCACTCCCGACCTCAGGTGATCCACCCACATCAGCTCCCCAAAGTGCTGGTATTACAGGCGTGAGCCACCAAGTCTGGCCTCCTCTTCTTCTTTAATGTCTTGCTATGTTTCCCAGGCTGCTCTCAAAATCCCTGGGCTCAAAAAAGCTTTGTGATTTATTCTTTTTTTTTTTTTTTTCTGCTGAAAAGCCATAATTATATAATCGGTGTTGAAAGAAATGCATAAAATATTGTTGTAGAAAATACTGGGTTCTTGGCTGGGCGCAGTGATTCATGCTTGTAATCCGAGCATTTTGGGAGGCCAAGGCAGAGGGATCACCTGAGGTCGGGAGTTCGAAACCAGACTGATCAACATGGAGAAACCCCGTCTCTACTAAAAATGCGAAAATCAGCCAGGCGCGGTGGTGCATGCCTGTAATCCCAGCTACTCCAGAGGCTGAGGCAGGAGAATCGCTTGAACCTGGGAGGCAGAGGTTACATTGGGCCGAGATTATGCCATTGCACTCCAGCCTGGGAAACTCCATTTTAAAAGAAAAGAAAATACTGGGTTTCCTCCGGGCACGATGGTCCCAGCTACTTGGGAGGCTGAGGTGGGAGGATCGCTTGAACCCAGAAATGGAGCAGGTCAGAACTCCCCTATTGATCATTAGTGGGAACGTGCCTGTGAATAGCCACTGCACTCCAGCCTGGGCAATATAGCGAGACCCCTGTCTCTTAAAAAGAAAAAGAAAATACTGGGTTCTTGTCACACAACCAGGAAAGATTAGGCTCGCAGACACACAGAAGGGTGAGGAGTAAAATTATTGAATGAAAAGGAAAAAGGAAAAACAGCAAAGTGAGATGAGGTCCTGCTAACAGGCTGTCCACCAAGCTGATTTGATCCCATGTCTTCACACAGAAACAGGAAAGGCCAGACTCCTCCCCGCTGCAAATGGCATAAACTTCACAAGTCTTCACCCTGTCTTCCCAGTATGCAGGCGGGTTGGAGATTCTTCTGGAACCTTTTGTAACATGGCCATTTCATTCTCCTGCCTAAAGAAGTACATCTGGGCCCTGCACAGTGGCTCACGCCTGTAATCTCCAGCACTTTGGGAGGCTGAGTCATGGGGTCATGAGGTCAAGAGTTCAAGACCAGCGTGACCAACATTGTGAAAGCCTGTCTGTACTAAAAATACAAAAATTAGCTGGGTGTGGTAACC